TCCTATATCTTTTATATTTTCAAATATGGAAAAAGAACATCTGAACTTTTTATGTTATAGGCAACACTTCAAAGAATAATTGGAAAAATAACATTTGTTCTACAAAGACAATCAAAGGTCAATATAGATGGCAGAAGGTCATAACTATTATCCGCGCCAGTTTCGTGGTTTTTGGCGGTTTGAAAATGGTTTTTGACGTCCTAAATTGTAATTTGAAGATCAGATTTTCGTAATATTTGAAATTCGTGCTTTTTGGTAAATGATAAACATTTGTACTGAATTTGTAATAAAAACCGAGTCTGTGTTGTGTGAATATGCTGATTGCTCATTTTCATCATCAATACCGTATTTCACTAATCAGGTAAATTCACGCTAGTTACCACTTAACTAAAGTTTAAGGTTAGTCTGATTGGTTTCAAACATTGCAGAGTGCAAGATGGTAATACGAGCGACGGAGCCTATTGTTTTTGATAAATGTCTGAATATACTAATTGCTCTTTTGCATAATATTTCACAAAAGGAGATTTACACTATAATATTAAAATTCCCATAAAGGTTTTCAAATTTAGTTGAAATTTTAAAGATGGTAAATTTCACAGGAAATTTATGCTAGTTACCAAAAAGTTTGGTAATTCTGATTTGTTTATAACTTTGCAAAATGCAGGATGGTAATAATGTAACGGAGCCTATTGATTTTGGTACGGGTTTAAATATGCTAATTGCACATTTACATAATTAATATTTCACTAATCAGGAAATTTACACTAAATACCATCAAAATACCCATAAAAAATTCTAATTTAATTGAAATTGTAATTTTTCTTCGCTGTTGTACTAAATTATTTGTTACCACAATAACTTAAGTTTGGTAAGTCTACTTATCGATTCATCATTATCATCATCATCAGCAGCAGCAGCAGCCTGTCAGGCCACTGCTGGCCGATGACCTCCTCCAACTCCATTCTGATCTGTTCTTTGCCAGATTTGACCAGTTCGCACCAAGCTCCTTTTGGAAAAGATCGCTCCATCTCTTGTTAGGTCTTCCTCAATCATCAATCAGAGAAAAATCACACCATGGGAGGGCTAGGATTTTAGTGCGCATCGTAAAAGGAGCGTTTCTACAGTAGTTATCGTCATTATTATTTGTTATTGCTGCTGCTGTTATCCTACCAACATCATTTTGATAATTGTTTCAGATGCCGGGGCAGCCTGCAGGCCGAGATCAAGGTTACGAGTTAGTAAATGCATTTCCGTCCTACCACACCACATCTTCCAACCACTTTATACGTAACTATGACGACGAGACCGGTGCCGCCCAGCGATCAGTCCCACTGCCGCATCAAGCAAGCGGTGTATCGGCTTACTACCAGCACTGTCGACCTCGCAGTTATAGCAATTGTGATTCAAATGTGTCGCCATTCTCCATAGCGAAGCCGATGCCTGACTATGCGTCAGTGATGCATCAACCAGAAAAGAACGGTATTGTCCACGCGTCACTCAGTAGCGGTAGTCAGAAGAATACAAATCATGATGCTGCCCAATGGGACGGACATTAACTCGTGATTACGGATTTTTTGTAAAGCACATACCGGTACACATCTTTATTATTCGTCTTGGCCCCGAAACCTACAGTCAGAAATACCGGGGTCGTGTCCGGCGGGGGATAGTTTTTCACCTTAGTTAGGGCATTATGTAAAGCGCCTAAAGAGATCTGTGACGGTATACATGCAGTATTATTAGTACAGTATTAATATTTATTATTATTAGGCCTATTTATTAAATAATTTTTTTATTTCGATATGTATTTACCATTTCATATATATCATCATTACCATCATCACCACCATCATCTATTTCATCATCATCATCATCATCATCATCATCATCATCATCATCATCATCATCATCATCATCATCATCATCATCATCATCATCATCATCATCATCATCATCATCGCCATTATTGCTAGTGGCTTATATAGGAGTCTTAAAATGGGGCGGAAGGTAGATATTGCTGTTTAACTTCTTGAGTTATTTTTTTTTTCCTTTTCATGTAAGCTGGGGTTGGGGCACACCCCTAGATGCGCACTGCCTTCGTCATCGCCGTTCGTTAGCATTATTTTCGTGATAATCACCGCATTCAATATCATTCAATTCAATACCACCTTCGGCGCTTTCTTAATAAATATTAAGTTATCGAAAGCGCACAGAATCAATTTTTAATTTGCTGTAAAAAGGTAGGCATACAGTAATAGTAGTTCAGAAAGAATAGTAGGCTATAGAAAGCTTTTTCCCCTGGTACATTTTTCCTCATTGTACATGGGGTAAAAATCAGCAATTTTCTAAAACCAACAGTGAAATAACGTGGTTCGGTGTGTCTAAAATCAAGTCTCATTAGGATGATGACGTCATCAGTAGGTTTTTACGTCGTTCTTTTGAAGAATATAACAATAACAATTCAGTTTCTGCAATATTAAATAATTTTTAACAAAAATAACAGTATTTTTTGTGATATTAATCTTTATTTTGAGATGAGTGAATATGAATTAAAATGGACGCCTCGTTTGACTTTTGACAATTCATGTCTTCACAAAACATCGGATGAGAGCTTGATTCTTGTTGTTTAAAGCAGAGAACCTTTCGATTTTGTGAGAAAAAGAAAACAAGTTTTGGTTCGATCTGATAAATGTGGTGTTGAATTTCATCCAGTACGAATCAGTGGGATCTCTAGAAAAATACGAAATCCAGGCAATATTTACACGTAGTGGTTATATTGCACCAGTCTAAAACGAATTGCAAATTATGATTTGATGCTATTGTATGTGTACATTGGATAATGGATTAGGACAAAATAATATCCAATCACAATTAGGAACTCGTTTACGACTGGTGTAAAATAGCCACTGCTTATCGTATAAAACATTCCACCATGCGACGTTGTTAGGCCAATATTGCAACACTTAAAGTGTCAGTGCATTTCCCGCCATTTCGAGAGTAATTTAGTCAGCCTTGTACTACTTTTACGCGCTGCATCACAGACCAATCAGATGGAGGAAATATCAGGATATCTACGCTTTCAACCGGAATAGGCTACTTCAACGAGTGGAATTGGATTCAGTGACATATATCAACAGACGAAATGGAGTAAACATTAGAAAGTACGATTTCATTTTAATAACATTCTACAGTATTTGGCATTTTAAAGATACATTGTCATAAAAAAAAAAATGGAAAACGTTGTAAATTCAATTTAGGCCCACATTCTGAAAGGTCAATAAGCTATTAATCACCCACCGGAAACAGTTGAAAAAATTAATGAATAGTTTTTGCGTATTTACAAACATTTTACAAAAAAAAAATTAAATTGATTACCATGCCAAAGTAGATGGCAGAAAGGAACAGTATTATGTCCGGTATTTAACGTTTGAATTTTAATTGAATTTTTCACTTCTTTTAGCTTATGACAGACAGCGCATCTTTAAAGATGATATCTTCGAACTAACTATGCTGCTGCAGTGGTTTATGGAATGTTGTTTTATGTTGTCTAGGGGTGCTCTTTTCCTTCAGGTGAAATTTCAAACGAGGCCTAAAGATAATAACACTTAACAGTATATTACAAGATGTGTTGTGCCCTGAAAACATGCAATTGTATAAAGAAAGTTTTGAATAGTTTGCTCGTCGTTAAAATAAAGAAAGGCTTAATTGCCATCCGATCCATCTAATCATGGATTATAGTTTCATACCTAAATCGACCATTGGTATGTCGCAATCCAGTAATACAATTTCCGGGTTTTTTTTAAGACTTTTTTTTTCCTTTATTATTATTATTATTGTTGTTGTTATTATTATTAATTAAGTTTAATTTAAATAATTAATATTAGTCCGGGAGCCTAATTTACAGGCCTTGGCCTCCTTGGTTCTCGGCACTTGTCTGTAGGCCTACTAGTGTAGTAGGCCTAGTTAAGTGGACAAGTGAATAAAGAATAAATAAAAGAATATTCATTTCTCAGTGATGTAAACAGTATTATAATTGCTGCATACATTTTATGTTTTTTTTTTTCAATTGTAGATCATACGGAGACGTGTTGCAAACTTTAGATGTTAGGTTTGTTTGTAGCCCTTGTCATTAACCTACTGTAGCTAAAGCGACGTGGTCCAAACGTTTTACTTTAATACCAGTAATTTAGCAATCCAGCCACACGCCCCCACTCCTGCCTGATGGAGGCTTTTAAATATTGTTGTATTAATGCACTTTAATTTGTATTTGAAGACACAATTCAATGGTCTAAACTGTGTAATATACTTGCTGCATACATTTTGAATTTCAATAAGTACAGTCAACGTAAATGCGTTTACTTTGGTAGGGCATATTACAGTATAACATTAGTTTATTAAGTATCACGTGCATTTTCGTTAAGCAACGCACCAAATGTCAGTGTAAAGTTATGTATTGCAGTTGTTAGTGATGGGTTGTTGCTTCAATTCCAATGTAAAATTTTGAATGATTCAGCATGTAAAGCCTTTTTTCCATAATATCGCTACCCGCTATCGCCGACTCCTTTGCCGACGCTGATTGGTCAGTTGAATCAGGGAGCGCTCCCGATTGTGTCGGGGACGGACGCAGTGCAACGAACACAGCGAAAACGCTGTACACTGTAGCTGCACACACCCTAAATACACCACTATTTTTAGTAGGTCTAGTCATGTTTAGATATAAAACGTTTTTTAAACAATATTTTGTCTAGGGGAAATGCATTCTTATTACAAAGCTCAAATAATACAAGTCTCTGTATACACATGAGGGTCGATCACATTCATATCGGTAATAGACCTATATGTATCAGGTGCTAAAAGCAGCAAAATGTATGTTAAAATTAAAGTTTAATACATGTATTGTATAAAGCAATGTTTAATTTCTCAAAAGGTCTACATTCTCAAAGCGTAAGTCTAATTTCTACAAACAATAGATCAAAACTATCCAAAGTTATTGCTGCGAAGCAGCCAATTCATATTCTTGACAGCAATTTGACCTCTGAAAGGTCATTGTTTGTCAAAAAACGAGTGCCGAAGACGACTGAAAAGCGGAGTTTCCTTCTTTCGTTCTGCCGAGTAAAATCAATTACTTTAGGCGACTTTTGTAGATTAACCTACTCGTACCAACGTCCGCATGTCGCGCTAGCCTTATCCTACTCTACTAGGCCTAGACTAGCTAGGATAGGCCTAGCCTTGAAGGGACGAAGATCCCAACGAAAGACAACGTCGCTCTTTGATAGCTAACATTTAACATCACAATAATTCATTATTAGACCCATAGTTGTTTTTTGAATTGAACTCCACAAATCTCAGCCGATACCTCGCACAACTGACTAACGTCTCTATTGTCGCGATGTCATGGCTCGCTGGCTCACACTTGTGATATGTCTCGCACTTGTGATCAAAAAACACGCTGGCTCGCACTTTGGCAACACTCTTTGGCAGTCAACTCGCCCCTAGAAAACCCGCCCTTGGAAACTTGCCCCATAAAAAAATGTACACTTCCTAGACCATGCAGTCTTCAAAATAAAAATTTTAAACTTTGGTAATCAACTAAATTTTCCACATACATAGAAATTTTTGGAACTTTATTTAAAAAAAACCTAAACCATAATTCACCACACTATAGACACTTTTTGACAAAAATGAAAAATTACGACTTTGCAACCCAATGAGAATTGTTCTAATATAGACAATGGGTCGTGTCTCATATTATTTGTTATAGTTTTATTACCTGTATTCATTATTTTCACTTGACTCGCATAAATAATTTTGTTCGAAGAACATTTATATGCAGTTGTACTTCGTAGCACTTCACTTGCAATTTGCAATTTCTAGTATATAATTTATACAAACACCGGCCAGGTCAAGTTGTTCAAACGTGGGTCTAATTTCTTCAAACGCGTGTGTGTATAGATTTGACGTAGGCGCGCCTAACGTTTAAAATTTGATATGTGGTTTGTAGCAATTACGTAGACTAGGTATAAGTTTTGATAAGTTAGGCCAACGTTTTGAGAACTGAATGTACGTTTTCAGAGCTTAAATCTATTTTTTGAGAATTAAGACCATCTTTTTGACAACAAGACATTGATTTTACAATACACTTGGATAAAAACACACACTTTTGCTGTCTATAGGACCATACCGTATATACTGTAATGCATTGCTGCTATATATGGTAGCAGACGACATGGTTGTAAAGAGCAACCTCTTTTTATCGAAATGTTTGCTTGTAATGAACCTTTCCGCTAAATCACGCCCCCATGGATATTGTTGCTAAGGCCCCTATAAAACCGCAGTCTGTTAAAGCATGGAGGTACAGTATTATAATATAATATCTCCATGCTTTAACCATACGCAAACACGTGCGTTTGGTGGGAGAACAGGTGTGCTTGTTGTTAGACGCGCGCGTATTCCTGGCCCTTTTCTGATTGGTCAGTTGTTAAGTTTGACTAAGTTTAATTGACACTTACTGAAAACCATTTAGTTTTTAGTTTTACTTCATTAATTCGTTTTTATTCGTGTTTTTTTTATTGTGTTTTTGTTTGTTTGTTTGTTTGTTTGTTTTTTTTGTTGCAAAATTGTACATTTTATTAGGAAAACTAAAAACACTTTTATTACCAAGTACATCAGTTTTTCGAGAGCTCAGTGTAATTTCAAATTATAGATAAATTAATTGTCAATCATCGATGTCTTTTCATTTATTCTGTTACA